TTGGTTACAGTGATTGAACCATGTGTTCACATATTGGTAATGTAACCAGCTTTGTATGGTTTTTGTAGGAATGGAGAACCATTCAAACTGCATTTCTTTCTAAACCACAACCAAACCAATTATCTTGAGCTGTAAGAAGCCAAGTCATCTTTAAAGCAAGGGTGGGCTTAATTATTCATGTTTCCTGAACACAAGCCAAAATTGGCAGAATGTTGCTGTATCAGTGACCGTCTGAGCAAAGAATTAGTAAAGATTACCAATTTACCAGATACTCACTGCCAACTTTCTGTCCTTGACTGTTGAATCTCCACCAACCCAAAATACAGCCGTTCCTTCTTGTGATAATGACCTAAAGATGAGCGTTGACTGTGTTTTTCAGGTTAAAATCCATCTTCTGGAGGCCAAGAGAGGTCAGAGAGTCAAAGTGTTTGGATGGGTTCATCGCCTCAGGAGACAGGGTGAGGAGCCTGACGCATGAAAATAGAAACTAGTTTTTAAATAAATGAATCAAAGTGCAGAGATCGAAGATGGTATATATTTGTGTGGTATATTTGTTTCCACCTCTGGCTTCAGAGCAGAAAATGCAGCGGAACACTTCAATTCAAAATGTCTCTTACTTTCAGCTTGATTGACAGATAGTTTGACACCGTTTTTTCTTCACTGTATATGCTTTTGTCTCCTACAGGGAAGAACCTGATGTTCATTGTGCTGAGAGATGGAACGGGTTTCCTCCAGTGTGTCCTGTCTGATAAACTGGTACAACTTAATAACTTAATTTGTCTTATATAATAATGCAAACAAAGACACATTTCTAAAAGTGTGAATTGAAAAATGTTTGGAATGATAAAATCCAACCAAAAAATAAATTAATTTAGATATACAGATACATAGGGACTCACTAGAATACGTATATAATATAAGCTTCAGACTGTTCCCCGATGCAAACTAACTTTTCTTGTTCTTGTCTTCAGTGCCAGTGCTACAATGGCTTGGTGTTGTCTACAGAGAGTACTGTAGCTCTGTACGGGACCGTCACTCCGGTTCCTGAGGGGAAACAGGTAAACACACCTGCTGCACAACAGTCAAAACCTGCACTACATGTACACACACACACAGGAGACCAGCTTACTGAGACAAATCAGGTTACGCAGGAAATCTGACGTTTACGTGTAGTGTAACTTGATTCTACACATGCATGCAGTGGACCTGACCCTACTAGGGATCCAATTATTGTATTGATGCAAGTTCTGATACACAGCAATGTTTTTCCTAATAGCAGGACTGTGCCTGAATTTTACAAAACGTCAACTGACCAGTCTCAGTTCCTCTTCCGTCAAAGATCTCTTCTTGCCAGTGTTGCCTGTTGCCCAAGATGGTACGCTGTTCCCATAGACGATTTAAAAAAAAAAAAAAAAA